ATAACCATTCCCCAGGAAGGCTGCTTCCTCACTTTCCCTCTCCCACCCCAGCAAGCGCATGCTCCCTCTAGCAAATTTAAGAAAAAAAGGGGGGGGGGCAGCAAGTGTCATAGTGGCTGGGGGCTGGACTCCCACACGGCTGACCGCAGTTTGAATCCTAGACCCAAAGACTTGAAACTCATGCTGGGTGCGCGTGTGTATGCGTGTGCCCGTGTGTATGCGTGTGCCCAAAATCCCAAGAGGACAATGGCAGAGAAGGGATAGCAGCATGGCCATCCCCCTGGGGGGTGATTTCTCGCCTTCTGTCTCTCTGGCAAGTGCATGTGCCCTATAGTGAAAATCTCTAAAAAATAAATAAGTAAAAATAAAATGATAACGAAATGCCAAAATGTGGTTTCCTGTCATAAACAATTCTGAGAACACTGAGTCACTTTACTAAGTAATTGGAAGTTATCTTAGAGAAGAAATTAATTGAATACTACATAGACCTGTGGTATGAGTTTTGGGTTGTCACCTAAAACTTTTTGGTGTGAAATAGTACATGGCTGAATTTTTTTTTAGCTAGAGGGCACATGCACTCACCAGAGAGATACAGAGAGAAAAGAGAGAGCAGCCTCCATGGGGAATGGCCACCCAAAAACCCTTCTCCACCTCTTCCTTTCAGGACTTCGGGTCTACGTGCACATGTGTCCAGCATGTCTCTGAAGTTGCCAGGTCCAGTTTTGGCCTGCACAGTCAGCCATGTGGGAACCAGGTACCCCAGCGACCAGGCCACAGAGCTGACCCTTGTTTGCCACACACACTGCAGAAAATAGGGGCCTTCATAAAGAAACTGAGGGCGGTCAGAGGCTGAGCGATGGCGCAAGCTCAGTCACTGCTTATCACTTCAGCAGCCCGCCCCATCAGGGGTACCAGGCCCACCACTCTGCCAAGGGCTCACTCTGAGCCCCTCCCGGCCCTCGCTTGCAGCAGAGCTGCTGTTAGGTAGTTGGCGGGCCTTTCAGCAGCCAGCCTCATGCTGTAGGGTGGCAAACGGTTGCTTGCCTCTGACCTGTGCTTCTCACAGAGATGCGGAAAGGCCTGGCTTCCTTGGGCCTCAGTAAGGACAACTCTTTTTTCTTTTTTTTTAATGAGAGATTTTTGCTGTAGGGCATGTGAGCTCGCCAGATAGAAAGAGAAACAGAAAGCAGAAATCACCCCTGGGGTAGATGGTCACTCCACAACCCCTTCTCCTCCATGCTCCTCTTTTGGGGCACACATGCACACGTTCCTGGGGTGAGTTTTAAGATTCTGAGTGCAGGACTCAGACCAAAGTCGGCTATGTGGGAGTCCAGCAACATCCTTTCTTTCTTTCTTTCTTTCTTTCTTTCTTTCTTT